CAGTAGAATTGCATAATTCATCCTACTACATTATGTAGTGTGGAAGGTATACATGCCTTCTCAGGGAGAAAATACTGGGTATTAAGGGGTATTTAATCTAGTGGAGACAATCATAATAAGAACCAACGGCTAGAATTATATCCAGACAAATGCATATTAGAAATAAGACACAATTTTTTACCAGTGAGGGAAAAAAATACCAAGGGAAGTGGTGGATTCTCCATCTTATGAAGTCTTCAAATCAAAATTGGATGCTTTGCTGGAAGGATATGCTCCAGTCATGATGCAATTCTCTGGTCTGTGTTATACATGTCAGACTAGATGAGCTGATAGTCTCTTCAGACCTTAAACTCTATTAATCTAGGTGTTACCAGTAATGAGGCACAAGTATTGGCAACTTCCAGAGTCAGGTTAACAAATTAGATCAATCAGTGGCCTTTTCAGGGTAGCTCTTCCTACTCTATGTTTTTAAAATATAAGGAATTTGAATGTATAACTCCATTATTATACTATAATATGAGACATCTTAACCCTTTTTAAAATTGTAGTGTACACACGCCACCAGAATAAATACTGGCAAAACAGTCCATGTTATGGAATAATAAAGTACTGCCTATAGGCATGAAGAATTAAGTTTCTTAGCTGTCATTATGGTAGATGTCATAAAATTCTACCCAAATATAAACTACTTTTAAAAAAAAAGTAATATTTGTATTACACTAGCACCTAGAGGTCCCATCTCAGAATGGTCATTGTGCTAGGCATTGTACAAAGTCAAACACGTCCTTGTACTAAGGAACTTGCCATCTAAATAGATGTAACACACAAAGAGTGAGGTAAAAGTGCTTGGATGAATTAAGAGCACAAGCCGCACTGACTCTTAACTCACTCAGGTACTTTTCAAAATCTCACCCTCAATAGATAAGACAGGCAAAGGGTAGGAGGAGAATCAGAGGCAGAGAGAGATGAAGTGACTTACCCTGGGCATACAGCAGGGCAGTGGCAGAGCTGGGAATAGCATCCACATATCCCAAGTCCCAGTCTTGTGCCCTGGGTACTAATCATGCTGTCTCTCAAACATATCATGATTTGTGAGAATCATCAGCACCATAGAATGACCTGAATATTGCTTGAACCATCAGTTTCTTCTGCAAGTGTCAGGATTCTGAGTGCTCTGGTCTGAGGCCCGGCATGGCATTGGTGCACATCTGTGCATGAGCACAAATTCCACAATTTCATAGACATGTGGCTGGATGCCCAGTCATTGGAGACTTGCACACATATGCGGTGCTGTGTGGACAACGTAGGTGAGCAGATGGACGCACAAACACATGCAATGACATCAGGGCTGAAAATCAGGCCCTTTATATGCTTACTTCACTTCCATGCAGGCAGCAAGAAAACTGTGAAACAAATTTGCATTTCATACCTATAGCTAACGCCAGGCCTGTGAAAATTTTATTGAACATTAAAAGGAAAAGTGATACCCTGGCACTTGGACCAGCTACATCTTGTGAGAGGTGCAAATCCACTTCACACCTCAACAATTTATTAGCCACAAATCTGCTTTAATCTGGAAGAAATAAGTACCCAAGGAATAGATTCTCTGCTTGATACAGTTCCCATTCCTGTAAGTTACATATGCACATTAAAAGAGGAACTTACCTCCTGGAGTCTCTTTTCCTCTGGCAAATAGGTTGCTCGGGGAAAAACTGGGCACCTATTCAAATTTAACCTATGTTGGCAAATATTTGATTCAATTTCATGGAGCTCCACCGAACACTAGTCTAAGTTCCAGGGGCAGATCCTCAGCTGCTGGAAATTGTTCTTTCCCCCTTGCCCCCAGTCAATAGAGCTATGATGGCTTATATCAACTAAGAATTTTTCCCCCTTCTCTTTGAATCTGGGTTTGGCAGACTCTTGCTATTTACTACATTATGTGGAGGGAACTGTGATTTCCTTCTGGCAGACTCAATGTTCTGTGACTTTCCCCCTCAAAGTCAGGGAGGCCTGCACTTACAAATATAAGGCTGCAAATGACATATGTTTGCAAGTCCAGAAATGACAACAGCCTTTCAGGTGCTATTTTCTGGTTTATAGCAAAAGCATTGTGCATGGCTAATTGGGCCATATGGACTTCCATTTTCCCCAACCATTTTTAACAGTACAAGATATTGTGTCCGATGCCTCTAGCAGCTGATCTGTGCTACCCACACCTCCAATGTGTCTCTTGTAATCTGTTTCACATAGAGGCTTGTATTTGTTTCTGTCCTCCTGGGTTCTGACCTTAGATGGGAGCTGTAAATGGTGGTTGGTGGTAAGAAGGCACCATCACTTCCTCTTTATCAGTTTATTTTATTCCTAGCAGTTCTTCACAGCTCTACATTTTACCAAGTTTTCTCTTTATCAGTATCTCTAACAGGTGGCCGCACTGATGCCTCTCAGCCTACAGTTTGATGCCTTGTAGCTTTCTTCCTGGCTGAGAAATGTCACAGATGGAAATGAGCAGTTTCATCTCTTCCTGCCAGCTGTACAGTGATCATGTGGTGGCAATCACTCCAGCCTGCCTGGGACTATGGAGTAGAAGTTGCATAGGAGTATTCCCAGATGGAAGCTGGAACTGGTAGGGCTATTCTATCCTTTTTCTAAAAGGTAAAATGATGTCGGTGAACCTAACATCTCCGCCAAGAGAACCAGCTAGGGTGCCAATGTTGATGATGGGGATAATTTCTCCCTGTACGTGGAAATGGAATTTTACCTTCATCCCTTAAGTTGGTTTCTCCAGGACAATATAGAGGAGCATTGGTGGGGTGAAGCTGGAAGATTATAGTGCTGAGCTTATTCTGTAGATATTCGGTTTTTATTTATTTTGGTTTTCAATGTAGCAGGTGCCTCCCAAAATTTCAACATGTGCTTTTAAAAATTTGTATTGATATTTTTATTCAAATTTCCAATTACACAAACACCAGTCTATAGGCTCTCCCGCCAAAGAAAATGGAGAGATCCCCTTTACCAATCATATTATTTATTTCTATTATGAGGGCACTCAAAGCCCCCAGTCAGGATCGGAGTCCCATTTCATGGACCAGGACCGCATTGTGCTAAGTGCTATACCAACACATTGTAAGAGACGGTCCTTGCCCTGAGGAGTCTGAAATATAGACAAATGGTGCAAAAACAAATGATAACCTGGGCATATGGTGAGCATGGATACTTAGTTGTTGTTACATTCATCTTGAAGGTTCCACTACATATGTATTGTTCCACTACATATTCCATGTAGTGGAACCTTCAAGATCTGTATATATGTATCAAGAGACAGATGCATAGATGTATATTGGGTCTGATTCTTCACTGCCTTTTGCAGTCTACTGCATATATGTGTATACAAAGATGGAAATGGAGATGTGTGTTGCAAAAAATATTGTATATACTTGAGTGTGGGAGGGTACATGATGCTAAAAGGAATTGGAGGCACGGGAGTAGAAGAGGCAAGGACAATATAGATAAAGGGACGAGGTGGGAAGGGAACAAAGGGGAGGGATAATGAGAGGATGACAGCAGGAGGCAGTCAGATAGGACAGATCTGAATAGTTTATCATAAGATAGAGGACTTCACTCCCATTGTCCCTAGGATCTTTCATGGCACTAAATTTACCTAATGTTAAAATGCTTTTTCTTCCCTCTTGTACCCAAACTAGGCCTTGCAGGTCTCTTGACAGATATTTCCATTCAACTCTCAGATTTCACATCCAAGGGCATATACCCACAGTGTTACCTCTCCCTTTCATCAGATAGATAATTACTTTTTGCGTCACTGTCTAGCTGCACTTGATTAGAGACCTAGAAATGAGAAAATCTGTATCCCATTATCTATCCCCTGGTCCACCTACTCATCTTCAAGCAATTTCAATTGCAATGGACTTTAGTAAAGGAAATGCTATCTTTTCTATGTATATGTTAGACTTAGGTAACTGATGTATTGGTGTATTTCAGTCTTCTCATTTGGGTTCCATGTGAGAGGACTGGAACACAATTATAGTGAGCTCTAAAGATGAATGGCTTTTATGTAGGAGTGAAGAAAGTTTCCTCACCCATTTGGGGTCTATCTGCCATGTGTGTCGGACAAGTTTGGAAGCCCCTTTTTCACGTTTTATCAGTGTAGCTTACCTCTGTTAGGAACAGTTGCTAGAAAAGACTCAGTTAACTGACTTTGTTTCAAAGAATTGCATAACTACATTGAAAGCTGCTCTGAGAATCACCAATGCTCTGTCTTGAGCAACCATTTAAAAGGATCTTTACCCACCACACCTACCTGTTCACACACAGCCTAGGAGAACAGATCAGATTTTCAGCATGGCTTGGGCCCACTGGTTGCCTAAAGTGGGGGGAAATGTGATTCATTGTTGAGGATGCCCTGCCAATAGCCCATAGTTTAGTATTTCTGAATTGTTAGGAATTTCAGCAGGATTAGAAAGGTGAGGAAATGGGTTAGTATTACATTGCTTAAGATTATATGGCAAATAGGGTTTTCACACCAGATTTAAGACATTTGTACTAAATTTTCAGCGTGAGCTCACATTGTCATTCTATAAAGACTGCTCTCCAGATGGGCTTATTTGTCTACCTGTGTTCCATTTTAGGGCTTGATTTTAACTTTTAGATAATTCCCGCGAATGCCAAAGACAGGGTAGGAAATCCATTAAATATCTACAAGAGTGACTGAAATGGAAAATTCCAAAAGAAACCCTATTAGAGGTTTTTTCCATCAAATCACCATTACAGACTTCTTATGCTTCTCTTAATTATACATTGATATTAACTGGACTGTTGCATGATTTAAATCTGGCTCTTAATCTCGGCTATTCTGTGCTGTTGTAGTTTTTATGACATCCAACTAACAACTTCTTTATGCATTAATCTATCTAGAAAACCACCTTAATATTTTTTGGTCTTTTTTTAGAAGAAAAAAGACCCCAAGAACGAAATGAAAGCTTTTTGGTTCAACCATTAGCAATTTTCTGCTTAGTATTTGAAAAATTGCTTATTTTAATTGCTTCACAGAAGAAAAAGATATCAAAGCTACTGTTCTCTATTTCCAAACTTTGTAATTATTTCACTCAGTCATCTGAAATGGCTTAAAAGTATTTTCATTGAAATGTAGATTTCTTCCATTTCAAATGTACTTTTATTCTCCAGTGTTTCTTTTCCTTTCTTTGGTTACTTCTTCTCTGGTCTCCACGACAGCAAACCTGGACTCCAGTCTCTGGAAACAAAAGCATAGATATCCATGTCTGTGTACACACACGCCTGTATATCCCCATTGTTTAAATGCATCATCTCCATCAGAAGCCCATCCTCTTCATGCTCTAAGTATTGCAATAATAATATTGACCTCTTTTATAGCACTTTTCATTAGTCGATCTCAAAACCCTTTACCAAAGAGGTAAGTATCATTTATCCCCACTTTACAGATGTGAAAACTGAGGCATAGAGAGATTAAAGTGACTGGTCTCAGGTCAGCCAACACACAAGTGGCGAAGCCAGGAATAGACCTCAGATCTGCTGAATCCCACTCCAGTGCTCTGTCCACTAGGCAACACTATCTCCCAAGTCACATTTCATTCCTGTACTTCACATCTACAAGTTTTAGTGAGACCATCATGCCAAATGACGAATAAAAACACAGGGCCAGAATCTCAACTGGTGTGAATTGGCATCTGAAGTTAACAAAGCTCTGCCAATTAGCTCCATTATTATTTACTATTTCTATTGCAGTAGTGCCTAAGGACCCCAATCAGGGATCAGGGCCTACTGGCATAGGCACTGTACCAACAAATAAGACAGTCCCTGACCCAGAAAACACACAACCCAAAATTGTCAAAAATAGGAGCCTAAAGTTAGTCTCTCCTAAGTCCACATTTAGGTTTCTTAGAGTATAATTTTCATAAACACTTGAATGACTTAAGAGCATAAGTAACATTCATTTCAATGGGACAGGTTTGTGTGCACAAATTAGCCACAACAGTGGTCTCAGTAGTCACAAGTGCCCACCAGCCTAATCATCCCCAGTGAAGAATCTGCCCCTAAAGTCTTTCCCACTGGAATCTGCACCAGTTAACTGAGGCTACAGATAAACCAAATAGTGGCTCCAAAAGCACAAAAGAACAACAGTAAAAACAATCCCCATGAAAGCCCCGGACACAAATGCAAGACATTTTGCTGAGGATACCATAAGATTTTCTCTGTCTCAATCTACTGTTGGCTTTCTCCTCAGTTGTATACCTACATCGGCCATATGCAAGGACAGATTTCCCACATTGACATTTAAATCTCTAAGGTTAGCCTCCAAACACACTTACTTGAACCTGGAAAAATGTGAAACTTGATGTTCACAGGGATCTATGACTCAAGGGTAAATATCTTTCTAAAAGAGATGAGCTAATAACTCCACCAGAAGTTATGTGCTTGATGCAGAAATTACTGGTTGTATTTCTGTGTTCCAAGATATGCAAGAGTTCAGACTAGATGATCATAATGGGGTCTTCTGGCCTTCAAATTTCTGAAACACATTATCTTTGGTTTCTATGCATGAGGATCACACTCTTCCCCATTTTACTCTGATTTTCATGTTTAGAATGGACTCTATGGCTAGATCTACACTGGGGGGGGGGGTCAACCTAAGATACGCAACTTCAGTTACGCAAATAGCGTAGCTGAAGTCGGCGTATCTTAGGTCGATTTACCTGGCCGTGAGGACGGCGGCGAGTCTACCGCTGCTGCTCCCCCGTCGACTCCACTTCTGCCTCTCGCCACGGTGGAGTTCCGGAGTCAACGGCAGAGCGATCGGGGATCGATTTTATCGCGTCTACACTAGACACGATAAATCGATCCTCGATAGATCAGACGTACCCTATATCTCAGAGCCTAACTCATTCTAAAATCTGCTGTGTATTTTGCCTGATCTTAATGTCAAAACCATAAGAATCTACCGTGGGTGATGGTTCGGCTTCGGTTCACTTGAAAGATTTATGAACATCAGTGAATATTTCAGTGAACCTACACTGAGTTTGGGGTTTGTGATGAAATCTGGAGACAGGTGAGTTCCATGTGGTTTTAGACAGTACAAACCCTGTATATCTTAGTGTGTGAAGGAATTTACTAACTAAACCCTGCATTTGTTTTTCACTGAACTTGAACATCAGTCACAAAGCCTTGGGGTCTCGTTGGACTCACCACTGATCTTGGATATCAAGGCAGCAACAGTGGCAAGAATTATTTCCTCCTCCGATAGTTTGACAGGAAACTACACTACTTACTCTTAGATGAGGATCTGGCCACAATGATCTGTGTGTTCATCATTCCTAGGCTGGGCCTTAGCAGTTCTCAGTAGCCAGAGTTGAAGATGGAAGTTACTAAACTCACTCATGCAGAATGCAGCAGCTTTCCTTCTGAGCAGGAAAAGTCAGAGAGAAAATATCATATGACACAAATGGGCTGAGACCCGGCTACATCAGAGAGTGTCCTCTAGCGACAGCTGTGCTTCTCAGGGATGATGCACCTGCAGGCGGCTAGACAAAACTCACAGGAGCCAGAGCTAAGGCGTTCTTGGTTTCTGTGTCCTCAATTGTGGAACAAAAGTACTGGAAGGGATAAGACTGAATCCAAACAAACCATTCTCCATACTCAGGTTTTACAAAAGCTTTTTAGCAATAACCAAAGACAAGGAATGAGAACAGCAAAAATGAAAGGAAAAAAAAGAGAGAGACAAGGGCAAAGCTTCCTAAGGAAGAGGTAGATTTCCTATAGAAATCTCTTCGCAAAATTACTGTGTTTTGTGCTCCGGTGCTACAATACTAGATACTACATCCTAGATATAACTAAATAGATTAACTTATTGCCCACAACAAAAATTAATGCTCCCTTTCTTACCTTAAATGTCTTCAGAGGTAGTTCCAGGACTTGTTGAGGATAGAGAGAGGAAGAAAGGGAGGCAGAATGTTTGGAAGCATCTCATCAATGCAAATACCCTCAGGTCATGTTGGCCAGACTTCAGTGAATGCATCAAACCATCCAGAAGTTAGAAAGGCTTTGAGTCTTGATGCATAGATCTAGTTTTGTTGCTATCTCTAGCTACATACAACTTTGTCATTATCTGGGAAGCCCTCTGTGTATTACCTGCAGACACACAAAGTGAAATCTGAGGATCTCCATTGGAAGATTTAACTGAGTATCTGAATGAATGCTAGCTGGGGCAAGAGTAACCCTTCATGATACCCAGTATAGGAGAAATCACATAGTCAAAGAAAGAATGAATTATATTAGTAGTAGTATTGCCATTTCAAAGAATGCATTTAAATAAGTCAAAACTACTTAATAAAGTTTGTTCAAAGTAGCAATAGTAGTAACACTTACTAGAGGCCTAAATTGTGCAACCTTAACTCACATTGAGTAGAACTGTGCTCCCAAGCAGTTCCATTGATTTCTATAGTACACGTTAGTTATGCCATTTCTTGCTTCTTGATTTTGATGGGCCAGCAAAGGTATGAGACTGACGTGAGTGAGGGTCTCACAATCTAGACTGGAATGACAGCTGCCAAAGAAAAGATTGTAATGCATGTAAGTTGTGTCCATATTACATGCTAAGAGCTATTTTTACACCTTTGTATTATTGCCTTGCAACATCCTAAAATATTCAAATAAAATGCAAGGAGATGTTTCAATGCACTGTAAAATACGAATAGCATAAAAAAATTACTCAACCCATCAGAAGGTAGAGGTAGCATAACTAATGTGTATTATAGGATCCCTTACAAGTGAAATGCTAAATCTCAAGGGGCTGAACTGATAAAATAATTTGATGTATAAATGATGCAGCTGTTGCTATGGTAACAATATATGCTTTATTGAATAGAACAAGACATGGTCAAGTAAAGCTTTGTGGCTGGGCTGGGGATTAAAGATAAACTTTTGCACTGGGGAAAATCCAACTTGAATATGAATCCACTTGCCCTGAAATTTTACTCTTGCTCTAATTGTGTCTAAATTTGGGGCTTTCTCCTTGAGAACCCAACTTTTTTTCCCATTTGATCCCAGAGTGAAATAATAATAATACTAAACAGTGAATAAATTATGTACTTGTCTTTGCAGTGAATCAAGCGTCAGCCATTGCGATAATTCCAAGACGGTGAGAACTCCCATCTGAAATCTTCTTTTTGTATAAAAATGAATCAGTTCCTGCCACGTGAATATGCCTGTTTTACTTCACTCCTTGCTTACCTTCTAGTCTTTAATTTTCTCCTTTCAATGGATTACTCAGACCTGTTCCTTGGCTGAAGGTGGGGATTGGGCAACAAGAACTTGCACCTTATTGGCTGAAAATGGAAAGCAAGAGTCTTTGTGATTCAACAGCTGTTGCTATCATAGTGTTATAAAAGTATCACACAAAGAGCAAATGCAAACTTCAAAGAGAGTCTCATGTCTCTCAGTCAGAAACAGCGAAGAGAAAAAGTGATGGGGAGTCTTTCTGACTGAGTCTGAGAATACAGGTTCATTCAAGCCAGACCAATTCCAATTAATTTGGATTGGTGCTGGCTTGTGAGACTGTAGGAAAGTTATCAGATGTGTCCAGGTTAGGCCCATCCATTTCCAGTTCTCAGTACATTCAAGCAACAGAGGTGGATTCTCTTCAATATAACAATACAAACATTGCATGGGTTTCTCATTGCCTCTCTAATATACCACAAAGCATTTATGTTGCTGTTGTCTTATCCCCCACCTTCTTCCTCAGTAAAGTAAAGGAACTTTGAATGCCGTTTATTGTCCACCCAGCATCTTCCATTTGTATGGATATCTTATCTGGATTTTTATTGTGTTATCCCTTGATCCCTTGTGACAATGCCTGATTGTGAACATCTAGACAAGGATGATATCAGCATTTCAAAGTGGATTTTTGACTGCAAGTCTTTTGTTGTTAAATGACTCAGGCATAGGCACGGGTGTATACAACATAGACACACACATCAAAAACGTACACATTTCCATTGTATCTCTACTTCTCTCCCTTTCAATGGAAGGTAGGATGCAAGATTGCTCCTCCTCCCCAACAACTGGTAGTAAGTTGCTTTCTGGACTGTATTGCATTATACACATAACATACAAATAAGAGAACTACACACTGGCAATTTGTGGTGTTTTTTCTTTTCCTAAAGGTTAGACAACAAGAACAAAACAGTGTCTTAAAGAAATTGTCAGTTTCCCTCATCCCCCAAAAGCGCCTTGTGCTGCTCAGTTTGTGGACATCTGGGGATTATCTTTGCACAGGGGGAATCCTTGGGCATCGTATAGCTGGCAGAGCCCTGTCTTCACAATGTGTGTCATAGAATCATCAAAATATAGGGCTGGAAGCGACCTAGAGAGGTCATCCCTTCTTGCTGCAGATCATCATACCTAGATCATCCCTGACAGGTGTTTGTCTAGCCTGTTCTTAAATACCTCCAATGATGGGTATTACATAATCTCCCTTGCTAACCCTTTCCAATACTCAACTATCTTTATAAACATTTTTCCTAATATCTAACCTAAATCTCCCGTGCTGCAGATGAAGCCAATTACTCCTTGTCCTACAGGTGCCATGTATGTTGGTGTCATGTACATGGTAGGGACTGAGGGAGCATATCCAGAGCACATTGTGCTTCAGTGATCCTGCCCAGCTCAGTGACCCCTATTCATAGATTCTAGGACTGGAAGGGACCTCAAGAGGTCACGAGTCCAGTCCCCTGCCCTAGAAAGATGTTGATTCTGGTGTACTTTAGAGCAGTGTTTCCCAAACTTGGGACGCTGCTTGTGTAGGGAAAGCCCCTGGCAGGCCGGGCCGGTTTGTTTACCTGCCACGCCCGCAGGTCCGACCGATTGTGGCTCCCACTGGCCGCGGTTCACTGTTCCAAGCCAATGGGAGATGCGGGAAGCTGTGGCCAGCACGTCCCTCGGTCTCCACCGCTTCCAGCAGCTCCCATTGGCTTGGAACAGCGAACCGCAGCCAGTGGGAGCCGCAATCCACCGAACCTGTGGACGCGGCAGGTAAACAAACCAGCCCAGCCCAACAGCGGCTTTCCCTACACAAGCGGCGGCCCCAGTTTGGGAAACACTGCTTTAGAGCATCTCTGAGGCTGCTCTAAATTACTCCACAGGCTAAACTGACCTTGAGATGCCCTGAGGGAAGGTAAAAATGACTTAGATCCATCTTCTCCTTGCACCCATCACTCAAATTATGCCCCAAGCACAGCTTCATCAGACATAAGTAGAAGAATAATAGATACTATTTTGAGAACATCTGACATAGTCTTGCCTCTCCTCCCTATAAAACATTGAGCTTGTTTGGGAACTGGAGCACTGATTGCAATTATTTTTCAGGCACGAGGCCGTGTGTTGTAATGCAACAGCACCTTGCTCATTTCATCCTGGAAAATGGGGATGGCACCAGGTGCAGGGTCTCTTTGACGCTGTTAGAACACCTAGTTACTTATAATTCACTAGTTAGCTGCACTCTTAAGGTTTGCGGGCTTTACAGATATGCCTCCTCGAGGAGATGTGCGGGAACAGAATGGTGCCGAGAAGGGAACGCCGAAGGTAATGGACTGGATGTTGCTGGTGTTTTTTAATTCTCAGAAAATCAGGCTGGCTTTTAAGCGTTCTAGAGCAGCCACTGCAACATTGCTGCAGCCCGCTCCAGTGTTGCTTTAAGGCAGCTGCTACAAATAAGCATTCACAATTGCAGATGTTTCCTCTTTTTTTTTTAACTCCTTGCTTACCACTGACTGGAAGTGTTTGCTTATTTATCTTAATGAAGTCTCTGTTCAGGGGACTGGGTGGCCCACGGGCTTTGCAACACAATATATTGCCTTTCATTTCTAGCTCATGAGTTCAAATCCAGCACAGCTGGTAAGGGTCCAAAAGCCATTACTATCCAGTGTGAAATGAGTTAGGCCATCTCTGTCTGTTTACTGATAGACAAGTGCCAACGTCACCATAAAAAGTGACACAGTGATCACCCATTTTTGACTTTCTTAGGAGAGAGGTTAAGGACATGGGTGAGCCATGAAGACTTAGCCACCCACTCATCCACAGTGATGAGTCCCATTAGGTCAAGATTTGAGGCACATGGACAAAGAAGCTTGCACGCCTGCAAACCATGCTGCTCCTTTTCCCTTAATAGGGAATTTAAAATCAGAAGTTTTCAAACCTGGCTGGCTGATATTAGGCTCCTAAATCTATATTTAGACACCTAGATGTAAGTGGCCTGGTTTTCATATGTACAGAGCACCCATAAATGTCAGTGAAGTCAGTGGGAGCTGAAGAGAGGCAGCGTCTGTGAACTTTTATTTGGGTGCTTTAAAAGGCAACTTTAGCTCTTATGGTATCAAGTATTTCCAGCCATGCTGGAAATGAAATATACATACAGTATATCATTCAGCACCCATAGAGTTAATATGTTGGGAATTAGCTAGAAGGCATCTCTTCAGGTGCTGATCAGGAAAACACTGCACGGGCTATTAAAATAGCTGCTTTTGGTAGGGTTGCAGGTCAGGGGTAGCTTACTCCCATATCCTCCCTTGTAGCCTGACCTGTGCACCACTCTTTTTAAGGTCAGGCCCTTAACATCAGGAACCTGTTAGAAAGAAAGATGGATAGTTTTTAAAGCTGTTGCCATTCTCAGGGTTAAGTTTGGAGGGGGGGGATAAGGCCCAATAAACCTTTATCGATTGAAAAATAAACCATACCTAAATTTGAATCACAAACTCATTCAAACCTGTGAGTCCTGGCCAGAAAGTCAAGAAGCCTGATCTTGCCCACAATGCAATAGTCACCATGATTAGTTTTGAACCATGCTTTGCAGCCCTAATGGTAACATTCTCATCTATTAGTTACTGTTTCATCTGTAATATCTTGATAAATGGGGTTAAACTGGTATACCTGTGTTAATTAAACAGAAGATGGCAAAGACAGCTTTCATTTCCGAAATTCTTTTGTGTGGATTATTTCCCAGGGCTTCACAGCTGGGGAAAAAATAACAAATCCAGACACATTAGGCATAATTTTTCAGCCCAGCTGATAAAGCTATTTTACTCATACAATGATCCATGATCTTTTTGGTATCATGGAATATTTAATTATTTTGCTGCTACATGGCAGTTTCCTTTACTCTTCTTTCCTCTGTGTGTGCGTGCGTGCGTGTGTGCACGCTTGTAACAATGTTTTCCTGTTAATCATAAGGAAATGTGCACATGCATAAGTGCCAGGACTGGGGAAAAAATTGATACAAGTTCATGAATTGTAATTTTCAGACTTTGTCTGCAGATTAGTATGTGTAAACATAAGTTTGCCCCTCTTCATCTTGGATAATTGGTCACAAATGCGACTTGACACTTTTCAAAGCAGACACTTTACATACTTCTGAAACATTGCTGAACTTTTTGGCAGGAATTCATTTGCTTTCTAACTCAGCCACTCATTCATGGCCCAATCCTGCCGTTCTTACTCCACCAATTTCAGTGCAGTGTTCTGACAAAGTAAAAGAAGCAAAAGTAGGACCAGATCCTTAACTGGTGTAAACTAGCACAGCTCCATTGGAGCTACATCAATTTACACCAGCCGAGGTTCTGGCCCTTGCCAACGCTCTTTGAATGAGGTGACATCACATTGTCAGAAAACACAACAAATGTTAATGCATCTATAGCTATCACACAGCAATGCCAGCATCCTCTAGGGAGCTAGTCACAGGTAGCCCTGTGTTTCAATTCTCATTCTCCCAGCCTCTCTTTCAAACCGTGCCCAGGTACAACTCAGCTTGTGGCGGAGGGGAAGCCCATTAATATATATAAAGTGGAATATATAAAGTTTAAATTATTCCACATAATTTTATGCTGTTAATCAGTCCATTGTTTGTGCTGACATTCTGTGACTGCTGTGTGTTTACTTAACATGCACAGTTACTGTAAGAACGGAGCAGACTGCACAACCCACTTAGAAGTGCTTGCCAGATCCCAGGGAGTGTTTCTGTGTGTAATTCCAGTGTTATTTTTAGGTAGGAGCATGTTCCCCTAAGATTGTCACTGAGAACATTTTATTTTATCCGATGACTTATTTCAGTTTTATTCCAGCAGTCTCTGACCACAGTAGTCTTCCATGCACATGCACATCCATTAACATTCAGTGTAAAATATGGGCCACTCACTTTCCATTTACTGGTACACCTCTACCCCGATATAACGCTGTCCTCGGGAGCCAAAAAATCTTACCGCGTTATATCGAACTTGCTTTGATCCGCTGGAGTGCACAGCCCCTCCCCCCCCCAGAGCACTGCTTTACCGCGTTATATCAGAATTTGTGTTATATCGGGTCATGTTATATCAGGGTAAAGGTGTATTTGTTTATTTTTCAGTGCATTAAGTACGTGCCCATTGCACTTTTCAGTTTTGAAGCTGGATTCATTATGGTGCCACACCACTACATTGCTTTCTTCATCCAGTAAATGGATAGAAAGGAACAGATTGAGTTTAGTTTGAGAAACAGGTGGAGGTTCAGGTGGAGCCTTATTTTATCTGAAATGTTTTGCCCGTCTCTAATATTAAACCTATTTGTTAGATGTAGCCGGCACAGCACACTAATTTTTGCAGGAACTATTTAGTTCATACTGTACCTTACAAGACCCAACTTATATCCAGTCAATGGACCACCTTCTGCCTCAGCCTCACTGGGCCCACACTAAGGGCAGATGAGGAGAGGAGGCAAAGGTAGTTTAAGGCACATTTCTGCCACCCCTGGTCTTTTGTGTCAGCAGGGAGCTGAATCATCACCTGGCACAAGTTATAGCAGTAGCTGGAATGACAGTTCCTTTGGCCTTCTATGTCCTGGCCCCACACCCGCCAGTCCCTGTCACAGACCCTTCTGATCACCAGCCCAAACCTGAACACTCCCATTCTACGGTAGGGGAACAGGTGGTGTAAAGACTGATAAACCAGCTTCGTAACGCAGAGGGATTCTCCTGCATCAAAGGAACCCCTAACTGCCCTATTGGCACAGCTTGACGCTGGGCTTGTGCTGGAGCAGTGCAAAGGAGAACTTAGGGTAGGCCAGGAATCTGTCCCCTTGACGTCAAAGGGATGGCATGGGCAGAATTCAGCCCATATTTTTATTACATGGGAGCTCACTAGTACTGTGTTAGTTAAGGATTTAGGTCTAGGTCTTATAGAGTCCTACATGAAGTAACACATGAAGCCCCATGTACAACTAGGCTTATGGCACTACAACTGTTGCCTGGGCCAGGGATTTCCCTACACACACCCGAACTCCCCCATCAGTCAACAGTTGCAGTGTTGCCAATTTAGTCAATTTCCGACTCTCCCCCATCCCCCTAATTCAAACAGCCCCTGTAATTTCAATTCCCTGGGCTGTGTGTGAGGCCTCTTCATAAGCAGGGCTCTAATTGACAAGAGAGGCATCGTATATAAAGTTAGCCTTCAAACCCAGATCTTTGACTTAGAAGCATTCGAACTGGTTTGCCTAGTTTCAGGATAGAAAAGAGCTAGAGGAGCCAGAAGTACTGGTAGGGTGACCGGACAGCAAGTGTGAAAAATCAGGACGGGGGTGGAGGGTAATAAGAGCCTGTATAAGAAAAAGACCCAAAAATCAGGACTTTCCCTATAAAATCAGGACATCTGGTCACCCTAAGTACTGGCTGTGGTCTTCTAGCACTGTCACTGACAGAAATGTTGGTAATTACTCCCAAGGAGTAATAGTTGGTGTTAGAAAAGAAAAGAAAAGAAAAGAAAATTAAGTGTGGTAAAGGACTGCTTCACACAACGGCTACTCTTAAGCAACATATTTTCTGTGTCAGTGTGCATGCTTGCTAGATATGAGTGGCTCAGTAATGCCACAAGTGACGAAGGAGAACCCACAGCACGTCACTGATTCTAGTGCCAAGTACAAACAGGCCATGAGTCAAAGCCCAAAAAGGCCTGACATAGCACTACATCACCGTAAAGGGAGATTTCCAAACTCATGGTCATGAGGCACCAAACTCTCACTGACTTTCATCGGGATTTGGATGCCTAACTGATCTTTGTACTTTTAAAAATGTCCCCTATAAGCTTTGTTTTCAGGACTTGTAGCGAGAGTACAAATAACTCTTTGATCCTGATACAGTAAAAAGATTATTTTTTTCTAGTCGTATGCATTAACAAAATTTCCCCCTAAATCCTTGCCTAGGCTAAAGAGCTGTCTTAAACCCACAAAAGAGCATTCAGAGTTAAGGATGATCCTCCATCTTGAACTCACAACATTGTGCCTAGAATAGGGCAGCCAGCAGGCATACATAAGGTTACCCACTGATGTAAGCCATCTGTTGCAATGCCTCATGAATGCTGTTATTGAAAGTGAGTAAATTGTTGCTTTAATGGGCAAAAATTTGCTTGGTGTACTCATAGTGTTGTGGCCAAATTCCAGTGTTGGTAATTACATTCTGCCTAACAGCAGAATATGTGTGTGGTGGGGAGGAGGGAGGTTCCTTCCTTTCTTACTGTTCTCAATTGTAGTCTAATGTTGCTATCCACTGTAAAACAGTTGTTGAGTTTTCCTGTATTTGTGAATCAAATGATTTGTGTACATGCAAAACTGTTTTTTTTAATCCAGCTGGGTAATCCTATTGTATTATTTAAAAGTAATCTGATTATTACAAGATGTCTATATTAAAAAGAACAAGTGAAATTTATCTGTAGTGCACTTCCATTGTCGTCTGTGGCATTACACCAGAGATAAAATGGGCCATCCATTGTAATAACCATCATGAGTTAGTTTTTTTAAAATCACTGGCTAATTTGTATCTTGAATGGTTGGCATCAAAAACTAGTAGGTCGCTCCGATTTGAGAATAGTTTTTTGTCACAAGTAGGCCTTTTTGTTTAACTGTTATGCAAGAAATAAGACAATACTTAATTATGACAAATCAAACATCTGAATCTCTGAATGTAGCGTATATTAATTTACAGTACTAATATAGTAAAGGCTGGATTGAAAAAATGGGTTTATTTGGAAACTTACTTATTCCTAAAAGCATGTATCCAGATCATTTTTATACTGGATCTCTTGTCCCCCATGGGCCACATCACATAACTGGATGCCAATGAAATGTCCGCAAATGATAAAAACTAAACAAAACACCATTTTCTTTTTGGTCCCTGGAGAGTTGGGAGAGGGGACAGTGAGAGAGAAGGTACCTGCAGAGGGCAGGGATTCTGTCTGCTAAAATTCATCATCAAATCTGTCCAGCCTCTGGGACTCCATTTGAGTGCCTGGGTCCACTCAAGCTGACCTCATTGCACAATCAGAAGTCTCTTGATCTTAACAGAGAAACCAAAAAGGAAAGTAAATGCCAAGTGTCCAGCTCAGAGGATGTGACATGAACTTTGGAAAGATGAACGATATGAGGAACATTTAATATTCCAAAATGACAGGTTGTTGCAGTCGGTGGATTAGGGATGAGACGACTGGGGAATCCAGATTGGTGCACCTTTGGGTTAATTCACTTCTCATGTCCTCAACATTTTGTTTAATTTAGGAGGAAACAGTTCTGAGCTGAGATAAAATCTACAAAAAAACCTGACACTAAATCACTACACAGGCTAACATAACAATTTAATCTAGCCTGTGTTTCCCCTAGCTTTAAACCTACGGTCTGATTTCTTCTTTTTCTGTTTCTGACATCTATTTTTATTTTACTGGGCTAACCTTAACTTGGAAGCTCAAGGAGCTGAGTGGTTTCATTCTGGGTACAGCTGGCCAACATACAAGCTCATTTATGACCAACAATAATAAGCCCAATCTTGAAGTCACTAGGACTTCAGTGGGAACATTAGCAGGACAAATATTTGTATTATATGTGCTAAAGGATCGGTAATTAAATCTCTTGTTTTGGGGCATTAGGTGGCCATAGTGGATGTCACAAAGTGTTTTCCTCCCATGTTCAGCACTGGCCTTATGCATTATGAAGATATTCTCCTTCCTCTGGTGTATCGGGCCCAGGACACTGTTAGAGCCAGAACACTGAAATTAATGGACTTATAGTTCAACCTGATGTATCAGATCAGTATTTAGCTATTTCCAGTTCTGCATTTAGGGATTTTTTCTTCCCTTACTGCTACTGGGAGTGGCAGGAATTATAAAATTTAGACCAGGCCTGATTAAAATCATGGGCACCGAGCTCTTATCCCTAAAAAACAGTTTTACACATCCAGTCTCGGAGCCCTGAGTCTCCTAATAAAATATTTGGCTAGGTAAGAGAGCAAATTTAATATTCAGAACCTTGGCCTGTCTTGATCCATCCCCCGTTAGTGGTGTGGGAACTAGTCTTAGAGGGGAAACGGTGTATTTCCGTGATTAAACAGAGTCAGCAGCAATCGTTTAAAATACTATTGGAGTGTCTGGAAAGGGACACAGGGCCAGATGTTTAAAGGTATTTAGGCACCTAAATATGAGGGTAAGCACCTAGTGGGGTTTTCAAAAACACTCAGGTGCCTATCTCCATCTTTAGGCACCTAACTACCTTTAAAATCTAGCCCGTAGATTATTGGAGAGTGCAACATGATGTGGGTCACACAATAAAAGTGTCCCAAGCTGCTGCCCAGGATGCTTCAAAGGAATGCTGTTTCAGGTCTGCTCTGATTTCTAATTAGATAATGAATGATGTGGGACTGTAAAGCCAACCTGGAATTTGCGTTAGCACTTTGCATGTATGAATGACAAAGGAACACTGATTTCATATTGATTTAAATGATCCAGCAAAAGAACGTTTAAACATCATGTGCTTGATGCCCAGCTATGCCAGAGCACCTGGAAATATCAAATTAATTCCAGATGTTCTGCCACTGACAAACTTCTTTCTTTTACAGCCACACAACACGTACACACACACCATGTGACTTCCAGTTCCACAAATAAGACCGAGCCGTTTCTGCTCCTGGTGCGTTGATAACTCTGAATGGCAAGTGCTGGAAAGAATTTTAATCTACATAGTTTTAAAAGAGAGGGGGCTTTTAAATATGCCGCAAACAATTTGTGATGGTCATCTCTAAAATGCCGTTCCATTATCCTTTTCCATTTGGAATGAATGAGGCTAATTAATTTCAGGCCATACTTGATGAGGTCAGCACCATGCGAAGGGTGCGTGCTAGACATTGCTAATCTCTTTCAGCTGAGAGTGATGAATTAAAGATGAAGCATGCCTTTGCAGGCCTAATTTAGAATGTATATCAAAAACCTACAGCAAATAATACTATACCCTACAACAAAGGAAAACTTGTTCTCTCAGGCTCCCATGTAGTGTTGATTTTAAAGCCATTTTCATTTCACTTTGGAATTCCAGCTGTGGATGGGTGAAACAGTTCAGAGAAATCAAGCTTTCTCAGCCTGCGTGGACAAAGTGATGGTGGGGGGAAGAACTAGTCAGTGTTTGATCCTGTATGTATTGTGATTCTAACTGTATGCAGTACATTTAGTAAAGCTGTCAGAGTCCTGCATTCCCCAAGTGAATAGTACCTGTGACATATTACCCCTGTGCACCGAAGGAGTTTTCCTAATATATTTTAAAGTCTAAAGGAAAAGCAATAAATTTGTTAATGATGGTTCTTATCAATTTTTACTGGGTTTTCTATGTTTCCCCTGTTGGCGTTTAATTTCTGTTGGGACAGAAATAATAATACACAAGCTTCTAGACCAACAAAGAGCTAGATCTCTCCACTCTTACTCACATTGAGTAGCACCTTCCTCCTTGAATAGTCCCATTTGCTTACATGAGTAAGGGTAGCAGAATTTGACCCAAAAGGCTGCTATGAAAGTCACTGTTAAACTAACCAGGCCCGATCCTCAGACAGTGTAAATTGGTGCAGATCCATTTAATTCAACGTAGTTATGCTGATTTATGACTGACTCAGTTCTCATTGATGGCCAAGTCTTTCCATACTTAGGCAAAACTCAGATTGAAATCAACAGGAGTTTTGCCTGCGTAAGAGACTGCAGGATTTGGCCCCATATGCAGCAAGAAATTAGACATAATTGTCATTGCTGTAAAACAGATAATATGAAATGTAAATCTGTTCTCTGGAGGGAGAGGTTGAAAACAATAGACCTCCAGCTACCCCAGAACTGTGTTTCTTAGTACCTAGCGATTAGCTGAAATTCTTGACAGGTTATTGTAATGAATCAAAGTTCCCAACTGGTGGCCATAACCGGCTGCTGTCTTTGTATCCCAGTAGTCCTCATTAGAACAAAGCTGCTTCGAATTAAATCCAATCTACATGCCGAATCAATCTTTCAACCCTTTGATTGCTTCTGAAAATATTTATATTTCTTAATAATGCACATTTTGTCCCGCAGCCTGTGATTAAACCCAGACAAGGTCTAGAAAAGCCTAGAGTGTATATGGAAGGAGTTATTTGGGACAGGAAAGGAAAGATAAAGAACACAGGTTTTTCCCATTGTGGAACCATTAGAGTGTATAAATCTAGCAAATTTAGTTGTATAAGCATCAGAGTGGGTTGGTAATAAATACAGATTGGAGTATTATAGTAACCAAATGGAGTTTATGGATTATGCTCAGTAGTTCATAATTCTCCAATGCTGCTCTCTAGCTAGCTTCTCACTGCACTGAACTTTATTCATATTCTCTTTGCATGTTTCCTGCTGAAAAGTTAGAGATTGCAATGATACTCTACATAATACCAACATATTTAAAGGATCTTCCCCTCCAACTAATTTCAGGGAATAATTTTTAAAGGGTTTAATTAGAAGAAACAGATGCTGTAAATCAGCTACTAACTCCATTAAAAGTCACCAATTTACACTAATTGAGGATCTGGCCTTAAGTTCATGAAAATCAGAATTTGAACATAAACAAGTAAACCACTATTACTACTTATCCAATTAATTTTGTAGGTGGTCAGTGAGGGGCTCTGGGGTGGGAAACACAAAGGCTTTCCAGCTGCAGCCCATAGTAAATGGCATGTAATATGTTTAGTAAAAGGTGATGTAAACTACAGGTAAGATAAGGTAGCAGGGGAAAGAGGGATATATGCCTTGGCTGAGAAGTTATTGGATGATTATTAAAATTTGCATAGGTAGGTCCTGATTCTGCATAATGGGAATTATGCCCTTGCTTGGGAACATAGATCAGATGAGGGAAAATTCCTTGGCATTCCACCTTAAACACAAGTGACTCTTCTTATCTATAATAATAATGAAAAGGTGCCGGGGGAGCTGACTTTTTAGAAACATGTTAGAATAAATCAGCTGGGCAAAATTATTACTATCCCTGGGTAAAGGGAAGAAATTTTTCAGAACTGAATCAAAAATATATTGTTTCATTGTAATAATCAAGATGGTAAAGGCAGATCTAGTAGATTTGGTCCCTTTGCTGGTAAATTTTCATTGTAGTTATCCCTTCAGTAAAGGATGAAAGGAAAAATTCTTACTCAAAATGCTTTTCAGTCATTCAACACGCATTTCATTGTATTACGCTGCCTTTTCCTAAATATGTTCTTTATTATCATTAATTATCTTATTAATTCTTATCATTATTATTTATTATATTCTGAGTCTTGATCACTATTCTGCATTAAAATTGGCTGGGATACATGGTCTTCCAAGGTAGGGGAACTTATGTATTATCACCAGGAAAAAAAATCCTTGTGTCAGAAATACAGGACCTGATCCAAAGCTTACTGAACTTAATAGAAAGACTCCCATTAACTTTAGTAGATTTTGGATCAGGCCCTTAGTAAAGATGTTATATGATGAAGCTGATATTTTATGAATACCTTCTTCTGTTATTTGACAAGCCCAATTTTACACAGCACTTGGAGTTCATTATTTAAAAGAAGCCTTTTGTGTGAGAACTTTAAAATATATCCTTTAGTGAAGAGACACACAAAACACAGAGAGTATTGTTTTACGGGGTGCTTTTATTAAAGAGTTCCAGCCTAAAGGTGTATGCCTATTTTTAAAAGAAATTTTCTGATTGTAGATAACTGCTCAATTTGATTTAGTGTCGAATGATAGTGATGGGGTTGATAACTGAGCATTCATCGGTAATTCATCTTGTGCTAGTAGAAATTTACAGCAAAGCAGTGCTTTCCCAACACTGACAAGTCCTATTAATCTTCTTCAGACACATTTCAATAGGTGTCTCCATCTGTGCCCAACATCTAAACACTCTGGCATCACTAGGGACTTTGAGACACCTTCATTTCAGGTTACACTAGTGAAAATGTGATACTAGATTGCACTCTATTTTTTAACCTAATTCTCTCTTTTCATTCAATTAGCCTTTCTTGCCTGCATTTTTCAACTTATGTGTAATATCCTTTTTCCCACAAAGAGCTTAAACGGAGATTTTATTTCTTATAGAAACAAAATATACTATGTTGAGAGCAACCAAAAACTTTAACTTTTAAAACAGCATAATACAGTTCACAGTTACTGTGGAACTAGAGATACTGGCTGAAAACATGTCTTCTGTATAGCATGCCCACAAGGCAAAATATATCTGTCATAATGCAACTCTTACAGGCGTTATTAGGCCTGGAGAAAGGAAGGAGTGAAATCGAGTTTATTCTTTTTCCAGGTTACCAATTTTTTAAACAGTTCATTGCACAGCACTTTGGTTTTGAAATCTAATACAATCCCAAAAGCATCCGTGTGTGCTCAGCTATGTACAGATCACAACCATATAGCACACCTCTCTTTACATGTACAGCTAATACATGAACAAACATTGCACAGTCAAATTAGAGCAATAACATTTATGGGTGGATTATGCTCACTTGTTATTAAAAGAAAAGTAATTTGCAAACCACATGGACAAAGTATATGCAAAATGTATGTGAATTTCCCCTCCAAACCGAATGTCGTTAGCTTCACTTTCAAACCTGCAATGAGTTTGTTAGCAGAGGCAGCACAGCTTTCAAGATTATTCATTTAAAAAAACCCAGTCACTTACTCCACATGGACATTTCAGTTATGTTTTAAAAGAAAAGCTGGAGATACTTTCCTAATTTTGATGTATCATATTGATCTCTAAGTAGCTGCTTCAGTTTCCACAAAAATCTTGTAGTGAACTTTCTCCTTAAAAGATCCAAACAATGAGTAAAATGAATAAATGTGTAGCTGCATTCTAGAAGTAAGACAGAGTCTCAGACTTTGTTTCTCGCTTCTATGAAGTTCTCTAAAATCATCCTGTGAGTCATGTTATAGATCTAAATGACCTTATTGTAGGTGGCAAGTTTAAATGTGCCATATTAATAACTTGTTATCCAAGACAAATTAAGTCCTTATGTGTCAAAAGCACTCTGCTCTGGATTACCTACAAGACAAGTATTTATTGAATAAACGTTGGATCCAATTTCATTTTAATGTGACTGACTGTATGCTTCAGCCTTTTAGAATGAGATAAAAACACTCAAACCTATAACTCTGTTGCAACATTACACCTAACTTGTCTATTTCTATTATTGTCTCTTTAAAGTGGGATATGGATAGGGTTTTTTGTTTTGTTTTGTTTTGTTTTAAAGGTTTTATTATTATTATCATTCTGAAGAGCAAGGGGAGAGATAGAAAAAAGGCTGGCATTCAGCCTAAAGAGAAATCATTGAAACAAATTAATCCTATGCCGTTTAAATTGACATGGTAATCCATCATCAGCAAAGGCAAACTCTGAAAGCAATCTAGAATCTGCAGTGTTCTTTCACTGGCCCTGAGGCACAAAGACAGATAGTAAAAGAGGAGGAAAAAAATCATAAAAGTTAGCAATGCCTTGGAAAAGAGAAGGGGGGCCGGGGAAGAAACAGCTTTCACTTTTCCTGCTTCTAAATATCCAGTTCAGAAAAGAATCCTGATTAACCTTCAACAGTTGTTTACTAAGCTGAGTGTCAAGTCATCATCAGCTGCAAAGCACTGAGAGTTTTTCATATAGTGCCAAGCCTTTATAAACTCTAACATGCAAAACTATACCAAACATCAACTTTGGCAACTCTCTCCATTTGTGCCTTATATCCGCCTAAACTTAGTTATTTCAAATGGACAAAACTGTACCCTTTCTTCAGAACATTGTACTGGCATTGAAATTTAATAGTCATGATTTGTAAACAGTTGATGGAAAAGGCTTGTTTGATGATCTAGTCCCCACCCCTGTCTGTTCAGGATTGTTTACTAAACTATATTTCTTCGGGCTTTGTCTAATCTAGTTTTAAATATCTCTAGTGGTGGGACCTTTTGCATTTGTAACCTTTAGAACACATGCTGCAAGGGAACAATTTAAAGGTCTCAGGCCTTGGAAGCCAGTTGTACTGAAGCCGCTATCATCATAATATAAAGTTATCTACCACCAATCCAGAACTGAGCTATCTAAGAACAGCTTCTACTGCTCCTACTTTTCTTTTAAGCTAACAGATCCATTACTTTTATCCTCACTAACTGGGTCTAGCAATCCAAAAAGTAGAATGTTTGTTATTGAATTAATACTTTGAATTTTAGACAGTAAAATAACATAAAATAAAAGTAGAAAGCTAAGGAAGGAATACCACCTTAGAGTTAGAAACAGACATAGTATGAAGACAAAGTCAGACACCTTTGTGCCAAAGGCAAAGAGGTGAAAGGCTGGATAATCTGAACCATACCCAACATCTGCCCTATTTTAATTTAGCTGGGATAAAGTTTCTTGTTTATTATTAAGAAAACTTTATGTAGTAGAGAAGCCCATGAGCAATGTTATCAAAACTGTTTTATTGGTGTATGACATGCCATACTATTATGGGTGGGTTTAAAAAAAAAAAAAAAAGAATCCCCTCTCATTCTAAAGCAACCCAGTTCTCAGGTTCTACTATTTGGGATGACAATTTCATCTCCCTATGAAGCACCGCAACTGGATCTGAAACACATAGGAGAGGTTAACTGATCAGTGTCGTCAAAATGATTAATGTTTAAGTGAAGAACTTCACAAGGTTTAAAAGTGCCAAAATGGCATTTGCAAGTCACTATCAGAGATGTTTGCTGAATATAAGTGTAAAGAATGGCTGAAGTAAATAACTGTATTTGGCATAACAAAAAATTGCTAGTGTTGAAAATGATCTCACTCGATTTATGAATTTATTTTCCCACTCTGTAGCAAGACTTCTTAGATTTAGTAACAAAATATACTATAATATAAAGGGGTAAATATAGGGACTGAAATAACTCCACTGACTTCAGCTACCTGGTCTGTGTCCGGAGAAGGTTGAATACTTAAGTATATTTAAGATTAGGATATGATTGAAACCATAACATTTTTTATAAGCACCAATATATTTAAAATCCAAAATAGGGTTATTTCATTATCAGACAATACTTAGATCAAATTAAATACTGTAGCCGGAAATAAAGTTGTATGTAATTGTTTCCTATTTAAACCTAAAACTGGTCCTAGTTTTTAAAATTTGTTCTTCCTGGCACTAGATATAAGGCAAGCTTGTCACGAAAGGCCACACCTTCCATTTTTCACTGTTTGCTAGTATCCCCTTGCTTTAATATTTTCAGTTTAGTTTAATTCTTTAACATGATAAAATCTCGTCCAATTTACCTCAAACACATAGGATTTTTTTTATAAGACTAATTAATTTCTTATAAATAGTAATCATATTTTCATACAAAACTAGCACCATTTTAAATAGTGTCTGCAAAAATAAGGGAGCAAATGTGAAGAAATGTATACCTAGATTGATAGGCAGTTGATTCTTAAACACTCAGTACAGAGAAGGATTTCACTATTGTGTAAAATAGCTCATCTTAATTCAGTTCAGAACACAGTCTAAAATATGCATTTAAAATATTTCCAAGAAAGCTTCAGCCTTTAAGAGGAGGGGGAGTTTTAATTAAGAGGCTATAAATATGCAATTGATAAAAAATCTCCTAAATTCATGTTATGTTGTTCAGCTGTGCTTATGTGTGTACATCTTCTGTCCCTGTCTAGGCTTATTGGATATTTCTGATAGCTGTATTTCTATTTATGTAACGCCTAATGCAGGCCCTAGAATGTGGTAACTGCTTCCCTAAATAATCTGTTTCTGCTTTAAAAAAAAACCCAAAAACCTAAAAAAACCTTAGAATTTTTATAAATAAAAATGAATGTCGCTCAGTTTTCCTTTTTATATTTGATAAGAATGCTATTTTTAAAGCTGAATACTTAAAATGTATATGATTTCCTACTTTCAACTGCCTAAGATTCTGCTAATTATTTTTGGACTTGTCTCTTAAAAATCACAAGCCACTAGAAAGTCTTCATTATTAGGTCTGTTGAAAGGAAGACAAGTAAAAATAGAAGGTAATGATTACTATTATTGGGGGGGTTACATTTTTTTAAATTTTTGTTTAGCAGAATGATGGATTAAAATATAGTTATATTCTAAAATCAGAGCTTGTTAAATAGACCGGAACATATTACAGTTATCATTCATATTCTTTGCTATTCCAGTTATCTTGTTAATTTGAAAATAAAATAAATGTACGCAGAGATCATATTTAAACATACTCACCCAAAATGTTGCCACCTACCTCAATAGTTAACATATTTCTATCTTCATACTGGGAAAAAGGAAACAAGCAAACAAACAAACAAACAATTCAAATGTATAAGTGAAGATTTGTATATGACAAATATTGTGTGAAAGACATAGAAACCTGCAAACAATTTAATTGCTTAAAAAGTAGTTTGATAGAATTCAAAGATACAATTCAATATCATGTTAAAAAGATTTAAGAACAGAGAATGTGAAGCAAAAATACAAATTTCTACAGTGTTATTCTGTGTGTGTAAATATATATATATATATATAGGCATGTAGATACAATTTGAGAGTTATTAACTTTCAACATCAGTGATTCATCTTGAATCAATACACTGCAACTACCTATTAAAATATCAGCCAGGTGTGCTAGCAGGCAAATATACTTTGAGAATTATTTCTAAATTTCTTCTTTAAAAGTTATAATTTGACTATGGAGAGGAATCTAAAGTGAATGTTTGGGGGCTGGTAAGTATACTTTTTGCAATATCTGACATTTTTAGAATATTTTCATTTACTCCACGTTTTAAAAGTAGTGGAAAAGAAAATCTGCAATGAAGTCAATCAAAAATATTGTTTTGCAAAAGTGTGCATATATTTATAAGTTTTATGCATGTGTATGTATAGCATATGTATATATGTACACATAAGCAGGCAAGACAGTTCTCTTTCCATTTCCATTTCCCTTCGTATTAGAGAGAAAAGGAATAGGAAGGAACAGAGTTCTTAAACCTTGCAGCCACACTGCATCTAATGCAATCTCCTTTCTTCCCTAGCATCTCTCTCTCTCTCACACACACACACACACACATACACCCTCTAGATTAGCGTAGTTAACCTTGGTTCTGTGCTGGAGCGGGAAGGGTTAATGAAACCAAGCTCTTTACGACCTCGAGGGTCAGGCTCTTCCTATCTGCAATCTAAGGAATTAGGTAAAGAGGTTATAAGATTATAGTGGGAGGCGTTATAGGCCCTCCTGGCCTCACACCTGAACATATTGGTCTAATCCACTGGGATTCTTAAAAATCGCTTCAGCTATGGAAAACTGTTAATTAGGCTGTGTCTATCCTGGGGGTTCCTGTTGCATTAGTGATCCAACAGGGCAGTATGAACCCCATAGCCTTACATGAAATTCATCTAATATACCCCTCTCTCTCCCCCCCCCCTTTCTCCCATCCCACCCCCCAAGACCTATAACAGCAGCAGCCATTTATTTAGGGCGAAAATAGCGTTTCGTTTAAGGGCATACAAAGGAATGAAAAGCCATATTCTCGGCCACTTCTTAGATATTAGTAACCAGTTGCCTATTTGTAGCTGTTTCTAACGTCAGTGCTTGCAAAATTAGCACTTGGAGAAGTGAAAAGCCATTTTCCCATCAGTCCTGCTCTTAGATTCCTAGTTTAAGATCCCTTCATCCTTCTCAGAAAATAGCATCATTCGAGCTGCTTCTAAAACTTTCCCTCGGTCGTATTGACTTAGTTCTATTCAGTGACACCCTATTTGGGTTTTTCCCCCAAAGAAAAGATATACCCTGCAGCTAGTTCCTTTAATATCGCGAAAATACCATTTATTCTATGCAAAAATTCACCGGGCTCTTTAAATAGTCTACCTTAAGGTTGATTGGCAGAGTCATTGTCGATTTCTAGCTTTGTATACTTTGCTATTTACCATGTCTGTCTGAAGCAGAGTTGTATATAACCTACCACCACGCATAAATTGATATTCTTATACCTGAGACAGAATTGAATAGTCCTTTAAAAACTGCTGGAATTGAAGATCCTGCATTAAAATCCCCATCCAAATTAAAATACTACGTGTAGAGCGGAGTTTAATCATGTTGTCATTTTTCAGAAGTACTGCTTTTGATGCCATTTGTGGTTACCTTAGAAAAGCAGTAATCTGTAGATTATATACTAGAAGAGCTGTTATTACAGCATAACACGATGTGGTTAAACACTAAAATCTATTTTATTCACCGCGTTTATTTTAGGGGGTGGAAACAAACTTGATTTAAAATCTCACAACAGAGATGAATTTCCTGTAGCTGCTGTTATTAAAGACATTCCTGCCTGATGGAGATAGAGAACTGAAGTCCCTTCAACTTGATCTCAAAATCTGACCATCATTTACTCCAACCCTCTCCTTTTTATTCTCGCTGAATGTCTTTTGTCACCATTTTCTCAGTGTTTTAGTCATTGCTTTACATGTGGGTGGGGAAAACTTTTATGTCCTTCTCCTAATTGTATTTTCCTTATAGAATTTCTTTTCTCCTCCTATTTGTCTATTTCATGGGTGTTCCTGATTCCACTGCCTAGCTGATGGCATCATTTTAGAAATGTGGGTCTTTATTCTTCTTCTTACCTTCTTCGGGCTGATTAGGTATTATTTTTTCATTGGTTCTGCTACAATGGATTCCTCCCTTTAATCTCCCGATATTTTTTTTTTTCTCTTTTCCCCATCCCGGTATAACCAAATCCATGAAATTCACAGCCTCTCTCTTTGACACTACTGGGTCGCCTAATCACTTGATATCGATTTCCCTAACTCTTTTCATCCAGCTGAAGACACATCTTAAAACACTCCAAGCCAGAGTGTGCTCTTTGCTTTATACACACTAATAAAATGATTTACCCTTCTCTCTCTACTCTCCTCACAGGAGAAAATCGTTCAAGTCCCGGCTATTTGTGTGTGATCAGTAAATATTTAGTGTGGTGACATCTTCAGCTCCTCTCCTGATCAATACCCAGCCCAACAGGAGGTGGACTTTTGTCCGGGAGGAGACTTGCTGAGAGCTCCTTTAGATGAGGTCTTTGCCTCTCCTACAGTATGTTATGATTTGTCCTCGAATGTACCCAGTAAAGAGAGAAATACAGGGTTTTAAATTGTCTGTTCTCAACCGGTTTACTTTGACATTAAACTACCTACGCATCACCATATCTCCTATCTCCCTGTGATGTTCTAAACCCTTTCAAAGTGCAGCTGTAAAATGAATCTCGAGCAAGCCACCAGACACACTCCATTTGCCTTTCTGTACCCCCTCTTTTTTCTCTCTCCTCGCTTTACAATGCAATGTCGAGTGAGGGGGAACGTAGGTGAGGGGGTCTGTTTCCTCAGTCCCACTTGTGCAGGAATCAGGATCTCTTGCTGTAAGGGTTTCACTCTCTAGCAAAGTCATGCTCAGCGTGTTTGTTCGGAAGTGCCTGGGAATACAAGGTGCCTCAAGAACTTCACATCCATCCATACGCTTCTTCTCCTAGCAATCTGAGGCTATGTCCCCCCCAACCCCCTTTAATAGGTTAAAATGAGTGAGGGCTGGAATATGGAAACTGCCTTTAAAACAATTAACAACGGACTAGATCTTAAACCCCATTTTCTATAACTATCCACGTTAGAGAGATTTCTCTAAGATACTAAAATGGCCAGAAAGAGGAGTTCATGAGTGCTTCTTCTGATCTCTTATTTCTTCCCAGGGAAAGCCCGTGCCTGGAATGTGAAATATTTTCTATTGTAAATGATTAAATCAGTATATAATATGTGTCAGTGTTTATACTGGTGTATAGACAGGTGTATGTGTATGCACGTGTGTATAAAATATAATACATGAATATATAATTATATATATGTATTCATGTATTATATTTAGCATGTGTGTTTATATGATCCATATTTTATACACAGCTATATATTTTATTATATGTGTGTATTTAGTCATCTGTCTCTATATTAGCTGAATATTACCTGCATTTATATATATATAATTGTAGTACACATACTGCACATATATAATATAGAGTTATATATTCATGTTATATATATATAATATATATAACATGAATATATAGCTGTATATTATGTATGTGTACTACAATTAAATATTCTACTATACAAACGAGTACATCCACCTGTTAACTTTGTTTATAAACCACTTTACCTAATGGCTTTTAACTAATTTATCCAGTGCCTTATTCAGGTAAAGGAGACGACTAGGGGTGAGAGGGGGGATCCATATCAAAAGGTGTTACACCCTCCTTGCCGGAGAAACTTTACACATCTTGTATAGAGCGATTATCTCCAGAATATATCTTTATACTAATGCATACTTAATTGGTCTGTCTTGACTGTCCATATAAAACAATTTAATTAGGGTGCTTTCTGCTTTGGAAAGAAGAAAAAAAATCTGCCCAGCATTTATTGTATTTAGCACCAATACAGGCAGAAAATGTTGCACAAGTTTTTGGTTGAAAGAGCACCTATGTGTCCATTGAAGGGCGTTGATCCGAAAAGACAGAGAGGACAAGTAAAATCGATTTGAAGCGACCCTCTCTGTCCCTTTCACACCATTCAGACACTCCATTCCTTCTAAGACAAAGACCTAGCGCCTTGGGAATGCTTGCAAAAAAAAAAAAAAAAAAAAAGAAGGCTCCAATCCCACAAGCAAATGGAGCACTTTGAGAAATTCCTTGATATTGCTGTTATTTTTAAAAAAATGATCAACCCCGAGATATTCTTACCCAGCGTCTAACATTTCTTCTGCAGGAATGCCCCTGGAATGAGTGGAGGTAATTATGCAAGCCTAGTTTCAACCTTGGTCATTCGCAGGCTTTTAGGGTTAAAATAGCCCTCACCTCTGACCCCTGGAGAGCAGAGTTGCGGCTATCACTACAATTTGGGCCAAAGTTTTCAAACGCTGAGCTGCACACCAGAGGGAAAACGTCTCCCTGGAATTATTTTTTATTTTAGATTTAAAACATCTTTAGCCGATTTAATTAAATCCCCTCCATACAGCACCTTGGGGTGGGGGGGGAGAATCCTTAAAGGTATAGTCCACAATCTATCTCTCTCTTCCTTGTTTCCTTTAGGTTTCATTGGGCAGTTTGTTTTCAAGCATGAAAATTGTTATCATAAAACTGAATTATTAGGTCATCCTTTCCTCCTTGGATTGCAAGGATAAACCGGGGGGAGGGTTAATTCTCCCTTCCTCTGCCCCTCTCCCTCCCAGCCGTTGGGATTGATAGAAAAGGAACATTTGGGGAAGATAGTGTGTGGGGAGGGGGAGGCGTGGGCTAAGAGAGGAAATTACTTTACTATGTATCATATGCTTGTCAGCACACCTTAGGAATTCTCACCCGTAAGGGGTTTATTTTGCAGAGGAGGGAGGACAGCATGGGGGGGGGGATCTGAATGTCCCTCTGGCAATAATAAAAATTCATTCAACGGGGCTGTGTCTCCATCTCCCATGTACTGATCAGACTTAACAGGAGTGGCAACTTGTGTAGACCAGAGTTAGGGTAGTAATGAACAGTTAAAAGATTTACCCTTCTGGTCAATATTGTGCTTTTATTCCTTCCCGCTCCCTCCCCCCACCCCCAAGGCTGTGATGATAGTTGCCTTCATCGTTTTTTCATCATTGTTTGAGGTGCTAAAACCCATTTGTAATTTTCATTAGCTCAGTAAACATGCAATTAACATTCAGAACTGTGGTTAACTTAATTCCTGTTTTAAGGCAAAGACAAGTAAGAGTGGAAGAATGGTTTTTCCATTTGTCAAGTTTGACACACTTCTTACCATAACAGCTTCCTAAAATAAAAGAGCCGTGTGTGCCCCTCCCCCTCGACTCCCCCTCCCCCCTCATTCTTTTCTTAAAACAAAAAGGAAGAAGCAGGAATCCATTAAGTTTAAAACTGTACCAGACTGCCAATCGCAGCATAATGTATTCCAAATTGTCCCAAACTCTCCCTGCGCTAGCGTCTCGTTGATTAGGAAAGGAGGAAGGACTGTTTTAGTGGGTCGGGGATGGGCGTAATAGCAGGTTTGCAACAGGATCCTCACATTTTAAAAAATTAACAAATTAAACCCCCCCAAGCCGCGCTTTGCATTTCTAAAGTTGCCATGTTTGTGACGGGCTGGGGAAATGTCTTTCTGAGGGTTTTAATTAGCACAGCGATGATCATTCCAGCGGGTTTTATGGATGGACTTATTTATTTTAAAATGGAAAAAAAAATTGTGGAGTAACTCCTTCTAGCTGGGATCTCAGGGGCAGAGAGAGAGAGAGATTCCCGGTTAGCTCCGATTCTTTTCCAGCTTGCTTTCGCGTGTGCTTGCGTTCCCTACCGACCCTAAACAGGACACTATCTCTTCGTCCTCCCCCCGCCCCAATCCCCTTTCTGTGCATGTGTTGATCGCTCGCCTGCAGTTGTTTGCGGTTTTTTCTCTTGGCGGGTTTGAAATCGGGTGCACACATCCGACCACAACACTCACTAAGTTAGGAGATTTCACTCTTAGTTATCTATATTGTTTCCGGCTGGACGAGGGGGGCTGTGGGTTTGGGGGGGTTTTTTCCCCTTTGTTTTGGTTTGGTTTTTAAGTCTCGGGTCTTTTCAGCTCCAAACAAGGTGTAGCAAGACGCTCTTCCTTCTAAGGAATGAGATGAGAGACAAGGATCACTCAAAGACATCTCCTACCTTGGGTTTGGGTGGGTTTTTTTTTTTTTTTTCTTCTTAAAGGCGAGGCGCACATTCCTAAGCAGCTATGTACAAAGCTCTCCCTCAAACCCCGTCTGTGCAAAGTTAGAGTGAGTGTTCAGTTGTTGTTTTTTCCCCCCCAAGGCTGAACGCTAATAACACACGGAAAGCACTTCCCTTTAGGCTGGGGGAGATCTATTCCCTTCACCTCGCTTCTTTCTCTCCTCCCCACCCCCCGAAGCTTGTAGCCTCTTTTTCTTTTATTTATTTATTTACTTTTTTTTTTATCAGTTTGCACAATCGCTTAGATAAACACCAAGAAGGAGATTCTCTTTAATTACCCAACGCACATCTTTTCAGGGGGGCAAACAGCGGTTTTTTTGGTTGTTTGTTTCACCTGCCAAACTAAAGGAGAGGTAGAAAAAGAAGATGCAAGCGATTTGGGACCTTGAACAAGGCAAATATGGTTTTGGTATGTTTACTTATAGTTTCTTCTTCTTTTTCACTCTTTTTTTTTAATGTGTTGTGATCTTGTGTTTCTCTTAAGAAAACAATTGTTAGATAACTTACGTATTAAACTATCGTTTCTAAGGTTACGTGGGTTGCTCGAAGGGGTGGGGGGAGGAGAGGGAAGAGACCCAGTGTCTGCAATTACAGCACCATCAGTTATCACGTCCTTTAGTAAAAATAAACAAAACGACCCAAATCAGATTCAAAAGCTAATATACAAACGTGCATCAAAGTCATTTCAAACAAGAGTGAAGAACGAATAGCTCTTCTGAAAGGGGACTTTGTTATAGTAACTGACTAATTCTACTTTGTTATAGTAACTGATTATTAAGGATGCAGGGGAACCAAGTCTCCTACTTTAGTGCTAGGGATTCTGCACGGAATTTTGTAATCGTGGGAAGTTGGCAGCATTTTTGATTAATTATTATTATTACTATTATTATTATTTTGAGAAAGGTCGGTGTTGAATGTGTAGCGCTGAGAACCCATCTTTCTCCCACCAGGAACAATTTCTGTTTAAGCAAGTACAATGGTAAGAAGCAGGAATATATACTCACCATCGGAAGGTGCGGTTGGCAGCGGGTCTGCAGTTTAAGGCAAAGATTTATCCTTCTTTATTGCAAAAGGTGCAGATCTGACTTTAAGCAGCAAAACTGCTCTATTCTGACAAAAGCATGAGAGGCATGGCTTCTCATTTAAAAAAAAAATCACAAACCAGTCCCGTCCCGTCCCGTCCCCCCCCTCCGCTTAAAAATACCTATTCAACACAGGGCTTGGAGAAACCCTGATGCAGAAATCTAACTGTCCGTCTAGGAGTGTCCAAGCCAATTAATTTTAAATCCTTTGGAATTAATCAGATTAAAATGCACAGAAGTTTCATTCTCGTATGCATACGTGAGCCAAAAGTCGTTTCCCTTTAAGAGATCCTTTTCTTTTAAAGTTGAATTTTAGGCAGATAAGAGACTTACACTAGGGGGCAGACAGATACTGTACTTGCTCGAATCTTAAGCAATTTTTCCCCCTCTCTCACAGCATATGCTCTGATTTAGCACTGTAAATTTTTCAGAGGACCCAACTCTGACAGCTCCTGGTGATTTTCAAAGTACCACAAGCCAGTGGTTAAAAATTGCATTGACTTGGAAGTTCAGAGTCACACAATAGGAGCCACTTTCCCTATTCATGGAACTTCAGTGTGGTGGAAGAGAAAAACACACACATACTACATTCAGGGAGAAGAGGGATTCATTGCATTCTGTTAGGCATAACTGCTTTCCACTGAGTTCAGAGTGAAACTCGGTATTTGTTCGATGCTGTATTCCTATTGCGATTTAATCTATACAGAATTAGAGGACTATTAGGCAAGTTTCTGCCAGAAAAACAGATCTCCCCCTCTTTCCTAAAGATTTACACGGACGCTAACCCAAACTTTATTTTAATAAAATAAAGCTTTCCGCCCCCCGTTCATTAAAATACATTTACATCTGCAGTAAAATGGCGGGAGGGATTTATTCTTTTTGTAAATAATAATAAATAATAATAATAATAATTAATAATACAAGCCTACTTTCAAAATATGACTGTTCTATTGTGACTCAGCTCCCATAAGGACATTTTAGAATCTTCATCTATCAGCGATACGCTCATTTTTCAAATATTATTCAGCAAAATTAGCTGCAGTTCATCATTATATTCATCTATTCTACATCCGCCTATATCGCAGGGGTGTTTTCAAATAAACAGGAAACCACCTAATAGACAGTTGTATTGTCGTATCCCTCGAAGAGCAAATAGTTAAACTGGGGCATTCTTCATTATGGTTTGAGTAATCCGAATATACTGGAGCTTTTAAGGATATCTAGGTAGATCACATATTCAAACTATTCATAATGTGGACGCTGTTAAAAAAATAAACGCTCTTTCTGCATTTGTTAAGATGTTCATGTTTTTAGATGATGAATTATCCCTGTATACTTTATAAGATTTGAGAGAGGAAACCTTTTCCAAGACATGCCACATAAACTACAGTCAACAACTACGTTTTATAGTCTCAACTAAAATGTGTGACCCCCTAATGTCTGAGTTATTTGGAAATCATAAGGCAGCTCTCCACATTTTAACCGTAAAAGGTCCCTTCCCCCAACCTCTTTCTTTCTATCTCCCCCTCGATCACTATTTAAGTTAAGGGTTTATATTGCTACATCATGATCAATTGGAATTCTACAGCCTGCCTTTGAAATTGACCAGGCGCGCATCTTTGTTGGTGGAATCTTATTATATTCCAGGTTTATAAACAGGACAGTGTCAAATCTAGGTGCTTTTTACAACTTTCCAATCATCTCAGCACCTGCGGCTTTAGAGACATATATTATTTCTACGGCAGAAGGGGTGTGCATGTGGCAACATGAAAAAGTGTGTGTGGAGGGGGAAAGCTGCAGCAATGAATCCTGTATATAGTTTGTATGCATCTGGGTCCCCATGTTTCTACTTAGTTTGACTATATGTGTATAAGTCCCTATCTCAGACTTGTGTATATATGTATGTGTATATTTGTATAGAAGTAACTGTCTGCCTGTCCATTTATCTATGTATTTTAAAATTAATTTCTAGCTATCCATGCGTTTGTCTGTTCTGGTGCTTGCTGCAGCTATTCAATAGGAAATAAACTAACTATCTCCGTTATGGTGCTTAGTACCCAGGTTCAATAGGATATAAACAATTGTCCCTGTGTACTTAGATCGGTTACCTATTTAGAGTTGCTCCATATATAGTACAGAGATTGTGCTACCGAGTCACAATGCTACCGCATCCCTGTATGTTATCCGTGAATTTCTGCTTAGCCAAAAACAAAAAGAATAAAGTTGAATAGCTAGAAATGCATTGCGTTATGACCAACCCGCCTAGGTTTCTGATCAAAGAAAAGAAATTCATATTCTGGAAAACAGCACTGAATTTTTCCAACATACTCAATGAATGTAAGATATGCTGTACTTGATTAAATCATTGCTATTGCTGTAAACACTATGCAACTCAGAATAAATGTGTGGGTATGTGTTCACATATATAGATATTCAGACATGTGTGGTGTGTATTTGTATGGTAATTATTTCCAATTTATGTTTGGGTGTTTGATGAAAAGAATGGTTCTTGAAATGCCAGCGCAGTCAAGAAACAATGAAGTCTATACTCAACTATTCTGTGATCAAGTACCATATTCACTGATGTCTCTGTCTATATACATTGATAGATGTATATCTAATATATATGTAGCATACACACAGACATTTCACTAATGTGTATGGTATGAATACAGGTATCTCTACCTTTGCAAATAATCATTCACAATAATTAGCTAGGGTTGCATATACTGAAATTATAGTTTACAGCTAACTCCATTTTAGAGGTTTTTTAAATGATGTTGAATAAGGTTTATGATAATGTCTTTTAACTGCAGCATCTGAATGACACAGTTATCTTTTTGTCAGCATCCTCTTCGCGGATTGAGCAATTAAAAAGTTAAATCTACATACCTGCGAAACTTTAACCCTAAAAAGGAGAAGGTAATCACTGAAGAATATCAATTCTGAAAGCACTCCTTCCCCAATTTTTGAGTTATAAGAATTGCATCCGATCACCTTATTTAGCATAGAAACTGTTTTTTTTTCCCCCCCCCCCCCCCCGGAAAAAAAATCCATTAGGAATTTATTTTATGACATTATCACCACAATAGGGAACAGGAAAATGTAATGTAACTCTCTTGCTTACAGGTGATGAGAAGATCAGATTTTTTTTTTCCTCGTGCCTGATCAAAGAGTTAATAAAGTCTGAGATCTACAAAGACTATTTCAGTCTCATTTTGCCATGGATATTTATCTGGGTCTCCAGCCTTATTTCCCCCCATTCTTTTGAAAGATCCTGCAACTAAGGCAAAGGGAAAGTGCAAAGATAGAATCATAACGATCATATTTTTAAAAAAAAAATCATCCCCCACCTCCGTTCAAAGCTGTCCGAGAACCGTTCTCCCTTTAGGACCGGGCAGCCCGCTTTGGCAGCCATGCCAGCCAGCACAAGGCTGAGCGGTCCAATGAGAGGCGAGGGGCGGTCCGGGCGCTTTTGACCAGTCAAACACAGTCTGTTGCCTTATAAGGCGAGCGGTCGCCATGGTAACGTGTGCTAAGTTGCAGCAGTCGTGTCAAAGTTCACTATATAGCGAGCTCAGCGAGCTGATCGCAGAGAAAGCACTCACCACTCTGCCAGCCCCGCTCCTATCAATCGCCTTCACTTCCTAACCCCCCTTCTTAGCATATTTGATCACTTTGATTCTCAGTTCTTTTTCTTTTGCCTTTTTTTTTTTTGGTGCCTTTTTTTTTTTTTTTTTTTTTTTTTTTTTTTCTTTGGGGGGGGGGGGGTTGATTGTCCCTCTTCTTGTCTTGCTTTTTTTTTTTTTGCATGAAGAATGATGCTGTGTTCTAGGTTGTGATCCGTCTTTCCCTCCTCCTCTTCCTCCTCCTGCTCTCCTCTTTTATCATTATCACTGGCTGAGCGCTAAGCTGGAGAGTTGACTCTTTCCCTTCACCTCCCCCCTCCCCCCCCCCCCCCCCCCCCCCCCCCTCCACCCCATGTGTTGTGTGAACCAACTGCGCTAAGAGCCCCACTTGCAAAGAAGGAGACGCGGCACAAGGCAGCGAGCAGCGGCGGCGGCAACAGCGGCGGCAGCCGGAGGAGGAGAAGCAGCAGCAAAATAAAGAAAAGGGGGGGAAAAAAGAGAGAGAGAGAAAGAAGCAGCGGAAAGAAAGAGAGAAAAAAAAAAGCGAAGCCGAGCTCGGTTGATGTTTCCACAACCTGGACTTCAAAAAACTACAGCGAACCCCTCCGCTTTCTGCGCCGAGAAAAGTCTTTTTAGTGGTGCAATTTTTTTTTTTCCTTTGCAAGCCTTGTGTGTAATCTTTAACCTTTTCTCCGTTCTTATTTTGATGGCTTTCCTGAATGGCTGACTGTGAGCTTCCCTGGACCTGGCCCCCCGACACTCGCCTCTCCTCCTTCAACTCCTCTGCAGCAGATCAGCTTTAAGAGAGAGAGAGAGGGAGATCTTCGAAGAGATTTTTTCCTCTCTCTCTCTCTCTCTCCCCCCTACCCCTACCACCCCCTTACTTTTCTGTCTTTAAGCCAGACAATCGACTCGCAATCTGCCCCCCCCCAACACCCCTCGTCCTCCGCCTTCGCTGGCATTTTTTTCTGTCCCCCCCAACCCCCCTTTTCTCCTTTTTTAAGGGGAAAAAAAGAGAGAAACTGCTGCAAAGCTGATCTGAAAGCAAAGCAAACAAACTTTAAAAATAAAGGGGGAACAGGAAGTTTGGAAACGGTGTCCAATAGATATGGCAATGGTAGTTGGTGCGTGGCGAGACCCCCAGGACGATGTACCCGGAGCTCAGGGAACTCAGCCTGCTCAAGCCCCTCCAGTGCAAGGACCACCAGCTGGGGCCCCTCACACACCACAAACCCCGGGACAAGGAGGGCCCCCCAGCACTCCAGCCCAGACCAACCAGCCAAGCCAGCAGAGCCAAGGAGGAGACAAGCAGCAACAGCAGCAGCACATTGAATGTGTGGTTTGTGGGGACAAGTCTAGTGGCAAACATTATGGCCAATTTACCTGCGAGGGTTGCAAGAGTTTCTTCAAGCGGAGTGTCAGGAGGAACCTGAGCTATACTTGTCGTGCCAACAGGAACTGTCCCATTGACCAGCACCACCGCAATCAGTGTCAGTACTGCCGGCTCAAAAAATGCCTCAAAGTTGGCATGAGACGGGAAGGTATTGGGATTTCATTTGTTTTCCAATTTTCAGTCACTGCATTTTGCTTTTCTGTTTTTCTTTTCTCCCCTTCAAACAAATCAGGTTTTTTTTTTTTAAGGGGGAAAAAAAAAGCCAAATCAACAATAAACAGCGAGTGAGATAAACTTCCCCTTAATTCAGAAAGAGATGTTGAGGGGAGGGGGACTTGCCTGCTTTCTCCTGCCCTCCTCATTGATGTGTGTGATTTGGCTGATGGAGGTTCATTGGAAGTGGATATTTTAGGTTCAGCTGTTTAAGGAGGGAGATGATTATTCTGAGGCGTGGTTACTTTTTTAATGTTTCCTCCTGCATGTTCAGCATTACCCCCTCCTTCCCCCCAAATCGTGTGTGTGTGAATTTATAGATAGATGAATACCTACCCCCATCACCCACCCTTACACAGGAGGTTCGAATTACTGTAGCAATGTAACTCGCATTACTGCAGGGTTCTTCTGAATTCCACTATGGATTCTCAGTCTGATTTTTAAAAATAACCCCGTCTTTTTAGTATTGTAATTATCTTCCCCACCCCCCCAGGAGAGACAGCGAGAATGTGGTAAAAGGGACAGGAGATGGGAGAAAGAAATAAGTAGCTGAGGGGGTTTGATCCGTGCAAATCGAGTCTTTGTGATATAAAATTAGACGAGAAATCTCAGCCTCCAGTTTTGCAATGGCGTGTTCTGTGTCTGGACGCTGCCATGTAGGTTAAGGGTTAGGGGGGCTTTGGACTGCCAGGCTTGTCTTTGTGTGTCTGCAAGAGTAACTAACCTTGTTATCTGCTAAATAACAAATCTAAGCCCCGCACATTTCAGCCACTCTCCCTTCTTTCTCCATCTCTGGCTATTATTCCCTTTCCCTCTCCTTTTCTCTCGCTGTCACCATGTAAATTTATTAACAAAATGAAAGGCCCACTTTCCATGAGCAGCTGATAAAGGTGCTTTTAAATAATAACCCTCGCCCGTCGCGTGGCTGTATCTACCCGTCTCTGTTGCAGGGGAATTTTACCTTTTTAAAGGATTGTTGAATAGTCAATAAATGCTGTCTGGGACGAGCACTTTGTGTTTTGAAAGGTGTCTGCACCCTCCCCGCCCTGCAGACCTCAATCAATAAGCAATATCAGCTGTAATGAAGAGGAATCCCCCCCCCCCACACACACACACACACACACACACGTTCGGTACATATGAGGAGGCGGGGGGGGTGAATTCTTGTGTGTTTAGGAACTGAGGATCCGTAGTGTCCTTAAAGCAGTTCAGAGCAGCAGCCCTGAGGCATGTACAGAGCCTTGCTTAGCTTTTATTGCTGCCTTTACTTTAATCAGGAACTGCAGAGCCCTAAACCAGACCCAGGCTGAACTCTGTCCGGGAAATGCATGTCCCCCCGAAGATGCCTTTACCCAGGGTCACACACAAAGCAGAACTTGATTGGAAAAGGATCGTAGCAATTCAGGTATTAATTGCTGTAGTTTCTTCTTTATTTACTGCAGCCGTCCAGAGGGGCAGAATGCCACCCACACAGCCAACTCATGGTCAGTTCGCCTTGACAAATGGGGACCCTCTCAACTGCCATTCCTACCTATCCGGATATATCTCCCTTCTTCTGCGAGCAGAACCTTACCCAACCTCCCGCTTTGGCAGTCAATGCATGCAACCCAACAACATCATGGGCATCGAGAACATTTGTGAACTGGCAGCCAGGATGCTCTTCAGTGCGGTGGAGTGGGCCAGGAATATCCCCTTCTTCCCAGACCTCCAGATCACAGACCAGGTGGCCCTCCTCAGGCTGACCTGGAGCGAGTTATTTGTGCTCAACGCTGCCCAGTGCTCCATGCCCCTCCACGTTGCTCCTCTCCTGGCCGCTGCTGGTCTCCACGCTTCGCCGATGTCTGCTGACCGAGTGGTCGCCTTTATGGACCACATACGAATCTTCCAAGAGCAAGTAGAAAAACTGAAAGCATTGCATGTCGACTCTGCAGAATATAGCTGTTTAAAGGCCATAGTCCTCTTCACCTCAGGTAGGCAGCATTTATTTGCACTCTTCCCCCCTCCCATGCCCTCCCTTCCCCTCCCCAGCCGCCCCTTTGAAATGGGTTCACTCTGGCAAAGTGTAAGAAGCTGGAAACCCCACCAGAATCATTGCTACATGTGTCCTTTTAGAAAAATGGGATGTGTTTCTCCAAGGAAGGCCTGGCCTATAAGCACCCTTACAGGGAGCCTTCAAATAGTTTTAACAATGATGGAGGGGGGACTTTTGAGCACCAATAAGCCATGTGAGCCTCTGCCTTCCCTAGTGAAAATAATATTTGATTTAACCGTATAGCTCTGGCATTTAACGACACCAATCCGAACAGCAGCACAAGCTGTCTGATGTTGTTAAATGCAAGTCTTCCCATCCCTGAAACCACTTTAAAAAAAGAAGGATCATTTTATGGGCAACCGCAAAACAACAACAACAAAAGCAGTCCTGCGAGATTAAAAAGTGAATTAAAAAAAAGTTAAGCATGCAAAGCTGAATTTAAAATACATTCGTTTCTATCCCATAAAATAAAATAAATCAAATTTCCCGAAGAGCTGTCTCGGAGTTAAATAGAATGTGGCAATGAGCAGTTCTGTATCATTTGATCTAAGGGGAAAAGTTTGCAGTTATACCCGGCAGGAGTTGTATGGTCCAAAGTAAGTACCGGTTTGTGAAAGATAATTCTCCAGTACGTACATAGTAATAATATGAAAAGTAACAGGAGAGGATTCTTAGCTGGGGCTTAAAAATTTAATTCGATGGTTACACAGCTATGCCTCTCTCTGGAAGGAAATAATCAAAGCAGTAAGGTGTTTCTTAGATAATTAAAAGTAGAAAATACGTGCCAACTTTTTCAGCATATAAATAGTATATGAGTTATAAAACAATAATTGAATGCATTGTGAAATCTAATTAACTTGCACCGTAGTTTAACCTGTGTGAGTAATAGACTTGATTTTAACTCTGGAGGCTATATATATATATATATATGTGTGTGTGTGTGTGTATATATATATATATATATATATATAT